ATGACTCCCAGTCTCTTCTCTCTGTGGTTGATCTTTCCTGGTTATTTGGTAAGATCCCTAGAGAGGGGGTTTAAGACAATTGCATTTCTTTTAGAAAAAAAGCTTTCTTGGTCAGATAAGGGAATTCCAGAGAGAGTCTCTCCCTGCACTTGTGGGGTGAACAAGACAGTTTAGAGGGAACTTGGTTCTGAGACACCTTCTAAGGCTTCTCAGCATGTCAAAGCTAGTTTTTGTGGTTATTCTTTGAGCACCAACATTCCCATTTGAAACTTCCCTAGAAGTGTCATATGTTAAAAGCTGAGTTGGCAGCTGTGGAGAGAGAAATCGAGTTAATAGTTGAGTGCAAAGGATCCCATTAAACCAGTCTCCCATTTCTGTGAATGGGCCAGTACAGTTAAACAGTTCTGTCTCATTTCAGGAAACGGCATTGTATTAACAGATGGACCCTCAAAGCAGGACCTCTAGATGACGCAAACAGATTTTTTAAAAAATATATGGATACATAATAGTCATGCATATTTACGGGGTACATGTGATATTTTGATACAAGCATACAATGTGTAATGATTAAATCTGATTAGTGATGTTGAGCACTTCTTCATCTATCTGTTGGACATTTATATGTCTTCTTTCAAGAATGTCTATTCAGATCTTTTGTCTATCTTTAAATCAGATTTTTTTGGCTATTGAATTGAGTTCCTTATATATTCTGGATATTAATTTATTGTCAGATGAATAGTTTACAAATATTTCCTCCCATTCTGTATGTTGTCTCTTCGCTCTGTCGATTGTTTCCTTTGCTGTGAAAAAACTTTTTAGCTTGATATGATCTCACTTGTCAATTTTTGCTTTGGTTGACTGTGCTTTTAAGGTCTTGACTCAAGAAATCGTTGCCCAGACCAATGTCCTGAAACATTTCCCTGTTTTCTACTAGTAGTTTCATAGCTTCAGGTCTTACATTTAAATCTTTAATCCATTTTGATTTGATTTTTGTACATGGTAAGAGGTAGGGCTCTAGTTCTATTCTTCTGCAAATGAATATCCAGTTTTCCTGGTACCACTTATTGAAGAGACTGTTCTCTCCCCAATGTATGTTCTTGGTGCCTTTGTCAAAAATCAAGTGGCTATAAATATGTGGATTTGCTTCTGCATTCTCTAGCCTGTTCCATTGGTCTGTGTGTGTTTTTATGCCAGTACCACGCTGCTTTGGTTACTATATCTTTGCAGTATATTTTGCAGTCAGATAATGTGATGCCTCCAGCTTTGTTCTTTTTGCTCAGAATTGCTCTTTGGGGTCTTGTGGTTCCATATTAATTTTAGAATTGTTTTTTTCTATTTCGGTGAAGAACGTCATTGTTATTTTGATAGAGATTGCATTGAATCTGTAGATCACTTTGGGTAGTATGGACATTTAAACAATATTAATTCTTCCAATCATGAACATATTTTTTCATATTTTGTGTCCTCTTCAATTTCTTTCATCATGTTTTATGATTGCCCTTGTAGAGATCTTTCACTTCTTTGGTTAAGTTTATTCATAGGTATTTTTTTTTTTTTTTTTTGAGACAGAGTCTCACTATGTTGCCCAAGCTACAGTGCCGGGGTGTCATCCTAGCTCACAGCAACCTCAAACTCCTGGGCTCAAGCAATCCTCCCGCCTCAGCCTCCCGAGTAGCTGGGACTACAGGCATGCGCCACCATGCCCGGCTAGTTTTTTCTATATATTTTCGGATTAATTTCTTTCTATTTTTAGTAGAGACGGGGTCTCACTCTTGCTCAGGCTGGTTTCGAACTCCTGAGCTCAAACAATCCACCCATCTCGGCCTCCCAGAGAGCTAGGATGACAGGTGTGAGCCACTGCGCCCAGCCTATTCATAGGTATTTTATTTTATTTAGCTGTTGTAAAAGGGGTGACTGTCTTGATTTCTTTTTCAGATTTTTGCTGTGGAATATAGAAATGTTACTGATTTCTTTAAGTTGATTTTGTATCTTGCAACTTCAGTGAAATTTACCAGTTCTAACAGTTTTTTGGCAAAGTCTTTAGGTTTTTCTAAATATAACCTCTTATCATCTGCAAACATGGACAATTTGACTTCCTCCGTTCCAATTTGGATGCCCTTTCTTTCTGTTGTCTAATTGCTCTTGCTAGGACTTCCAGTCCTATGTTGAATTAAAAAAAGAGCATCCTTGTGTTGTTCCAGATCTTAAGGCTTTCATTTTTCCCCATTCAGTATGATGTGGTTTGTCATATACGGCTCTTACTGTTTTGACATATGGTATGTTCCTTCTATTCCCAGTTTGTTGAGAGTTTAATATCACGAAGGGATGTGGGATTTTATCAAATGCTTTTCAGCATCTATTGAAATATCATATGATTTTTGGTCTTGGTTCTATTAATGTGATGTATCACATTTATTGATTTGCTTATGTTGAGCCATTCTTGAATCCTGGGATGAATCCCATTTGATCATGGCAAATGGTCTTTTTAATGTGTTGTTGAATTTTGTTCTGTAAATATTGGTTAGGTCCATTTGGACTATAGTGTAGTTTAATTCTTATGTTTCTTTGTTGATTTTCTGTCTGGATGATCTATTATTGAAAGTGGGGTGTTGAAGTCCCCTACTATTATTATATTACAGTCTATCTCTCCACTTAGATTTATTAGTATTTTCTTTATATGTTTGGGTGCTCTGATGTTAGTTGCATATATAATTGTTATGAATATATGCTCTTGATGAATTCACCTCTTTGATATTCAGACCTTGTCTCTTTTTACAGTTTTTGACTTGAAATCTATTTCATCTGATGTATTAATAACTACTACTGCTTTTTTCTTGTTTTCATTTGCACAGAATATGTTCTTTCATCACTTTACTTTCAGTCTGTCTTTACAGGTGAAGTGAGTTTCCTGTAGGCAGCATACAGTTGTGTGTGTGTGTTTTGATCTATCCAGCCATTCTATGTCTTCAATTAGAGAATTTTGCCCATTTTCATTGCATGTTATCTTTGATAGGTAAAGACTTACTACTGCCATTTTGTTATTTGTTTTCTGGTTGCTTTGAAAGTCCTCTCTTCCTCTCTTCCTTTGTTGATAAGTGATTTTATCTGGCAGTATGTTTTAATTTCTTGACTTTTATTCTTAGTGTATCTAGTATAGGTTTTTGTTTTTGTGGTTACCATGAGGCTTGCAAAAAAAAAAAAAAACTCTTATAACAAGTTATCTTAAACTGATGACAACTTTGATCACAAAGAAAAAACTTTACAACTCCACATATTAACTCTATCCACCCCACTTTTTGACTTTTTATTGTCTCTGTATCTTTTTATATTCTCTTAACAAATGGTTGTAGTTATTATTTTTGATAGATTTGTCTTTTGGTCTTCATGCTAAAGATATGAGTGGTTTACACAGAAAGTATTAGAATATTCTGAATTTATCTGTGTGCTTATTTTTCTCAGTGAATTTTATACCTTCAGATGATTTTTTGTTGCATGTTAGCATCCTTTTCCTTCAGATTGACAACCTCCCTTTAGCATTTCTTGTAAGACAGGTCTAGTGGTGATGAATTCAAGGGTTTTTTTTTTTTTGGTCTGGGATAAACAATTCATTCATAAGAGGCATTTCTATGAAATCAGAAGAAAAACAAAGATTAATGTCTAGAGTAGTCTATAAACTAGTTTCCCTAGAGTCTGGAGGGTAATGAGGTGAGATTTCTAGATCTGGGTTTGAAGCATCTTCAGTTGTAGGAGGCAGACAATGGCAATGTAAGATATTTTCTTGGACTGTAGTTAGAATCAGGTGTTCCAGTGAACTTTCTGAGTAGTTCACACATCAATAGGCTTTTATATATAAAAACTATTTATATATAAGTTGCTGTAATAATTTCTCCCAATTTTTTTCCTTCTGTCATGTAGGCCGGCCGTTTCTGGTCCCTTGGCTAGTGCGGCGGGTTGAATGGCAGTACCCAAGAAGCTATGTTCACATCTTAATCCCCAGAACCCGTGACTATTAACTCATATGGCAAAATACGTGATTACATGAAAAATCTTGAGAGGAAATGCTTTTTCTGGAATTTCTACACTGATCCTAAATCCAGTGGTGAGTATTCTTATGAGACACACACAACACGGGAGATCTGACAGAGAGATGCAGCAACGTGACCCTGTGGCAGAGGCGCAGCCACAAGGGAAGGGTTGTCTAAAGCCACGTGAAGCTGGAAGAGGCAAGGAACAGAATCCTCCCTGGAGCCTTCGGAGAAGGTGCCGTCCTGATGACGTCTTGATCTCAGACTTCTGGCCTCCGAAACTGTCAGAGAATACATTCTGTTGTGGTAATCTGCTACAGTAGGCCTAGGAAAGTAACAGCTGGAGAGAGCAGGATTTTCTTGAGGCTCTTCTGTCTGTGCCCTTTGGTCAACCCCTTCAGCGCCCCATCTGGGGTACATGAGACAAAAAGAAAACCCAGGGAGCTCACTGCCAATGCCATTCCCCAGATAACCATTGTCCCTGGACAGTCTCTACCTCTTGGTCTTCTTGTATTTGCTTATAAGTCCAAGAACTTTAGCCATACTCAGTGAGAGGAAACAGTACATCTATTTCATCTTTTTGAAAGCGGAATTCCTAACTCCAGGGTTTTCACTTTTTCAATCAATGAGAATGTTCCAGCCATAAATTTCTTAAACCATTGCTTCAGCTGTGTCATTTCTTTGATCAAAATTCTTCCTAGACTCCCAACTGCCTACAAAAGAAGTCCATGGCCCTCAGCCCAGCATCTACTCCCTCCCCAACCTACCCCATCCCAGCCTTTCAGGTCGGATTTTCCACTATGTCCCTTACCAGGGTTTCTAAAACCAGGCTTTATCGAACTCTAGTTCCCTGGGATGTTAATAAATGTTGCATACACACATGGGGGGCGGGGGAAGGCTCCACAGCCAAATGACAATGGTAAATTGCAGATTTATACAAAGTTAAGCCAGTTTCTTTATTATAAGACTTTTCAGATATTTTACCAGTGTACAATGTAAATCCCCAAAAAGCAATTAAAACATGAACTGCTTCTTAAACTTACTTGACCACAGAACGCATCACAGTATCTCCATGGAAACCGGTGGGTGAGATTCTCCAACTCTCTTTTCCAACCAAACTCACCCGTGTGTGATCACCTGAACTCCTTTTGCACTCTTGCTTTTATATAAAAGAGAGGTGCCGCAAAATGTTGAAGCAGCAGCGCTTTAGCACTGTTGTTCACCCAGGCACTAAATAATTTTATAAAATTTTCCATTACTTTAGTACACAAGTCCTAACCATAGGTATGGTAAAAGTGGACTGGAGAACCCAGTATTTAAGTGCTTGAGTCATGTTACAAAATGTAGAAACTGCTTTTAAAATAAATCCATTTACTAATACTGCTAGATGAGGGAGAGACAGGACACCCCATCCCCCCACCCCCCACGCAGCTGCATCTTGTCTCGGCAAGAACTATGAGCACGGTGGTCCGCAGCCAGTGGCTGGCAGACGCCCTTTCCTTCCTGCCTCATTCCCCATGATGACGCACTCCCAGCTAATCTTTGGGACTAAAAAGAAGGCAATTGCTCTTCCATCTGGGCTACAGCGAGTCACTCTGTGACTGAAAGGACCACAGACAGGCTGGGTATTCGCTATGATTTTGCTAAAAGGACGACCGCCAAAGTAGTAGGTAAAAATAAAACATGAGCAGCAGTGACATGAAAAGAGGAAGAGAGGATGGGGCCAGGCCAAGGCTATAATTAAAACGTCTGTTTAGGAGAAGCTGAATCCAGATGAAACGCTAGCTGCAAGGTGAGAGGTGGTACGGGGATCAGGGTCTCTGGAGACCAGAAGAGGACAGGCTGGCACCAAGTTCAGACTCTGTCCTCAACGACTCGAGTGAGACATCTGTCCAGTCATCTTTGTGGCAAATCGTACTTTGAGCACTTTGTCACAGCAGAGGAAGTAGCTGCTGTGGCTGTTCCCTGAATGCTCGTGACAGGCATCACCCATCACTGTGTGCTGGGCCTCTGGACAGAGACTTCCAGTGTGCAGACTAGGTGGCAGCTGCGGAGGGCCACGCCCTGGGTCCAGGGTGAAGGTCCCAGCTGCTGGAGAAGTGAGAGCTCCGCCTGGGTGCCGGAGACTGCTAGGACATCTCTGCAGCAGAAGCCGCCGTCAGCCCCACGCCGAAGGGTCAAGGCCCCCCCACGTCACAAGGCCGCTCCAGGCTACTCTGCTCTTCTTCCTCCAACCAGCTCCAGTCAAGAGTCTGAAAGTCGACAGGCAAGTTAAAAAGACAACGGCCACTGACATACTGCAGGCTGTTTTTCCCCTTTAGGAGGCAACCAGCGTAATTTAGAAGCAAATTTAAACCCTTTTATCAGTAACAGACTTGTTACTGCAGGACACCCTGAGCTAAGCTACATGTTCAAAACTGTACAGGATCTTTTCTTTGGACTGGCTCAGAGGCTCTGAGATTTTAGTAGCCCTGTGGCTCCCAGCACTTATTTATATGCTCAGGGCAGGCAGATGGTACCAAGAGCTCATCTCAGCTATTGGTTTCCAGCCTCACAACATAAAATGGCCTGATGAGACTTCCTTTCCCTCTGGCAGTAGTGCAGGCAAGCAGTGAAAGGATCAAAACGTGTGGTGCCAGAAGAGCAGCAAGAGATGCAGAAAGCCCACAAGCCAGGGGACACTCCACTACGTCAGAGGTGACTGAAATCAGCAGTGGTAACCCCTCCAGTGCTTCCAAAAACCCAGGACCTAGGGGAGGTTAGCAGGTGATTGCATTAGCAGGAAAACGCCATTTGCAGATGTAAAGGAATGGTTTAGGGTCCTCTCAGCAATTTGAGCTTTGTGTTTATGTACCTGTGTCTTGGCTAGGTTTTCTTCGAGTTAGTTTCCCCATAACTAGTACTGCCTACTGCGAAGCTGAGTCCCCGAGGCACAGGGCCTTGTCCTGCTTTGTCACCAGAGACCAGCCCAGCACTCGGCACACACAGATGCTCAGCAGTGGCACAGAAGGTGCAGGTAGGGAAGGGCCTGCGGACGATTTCACCTTCCCCATTAGGATTAAGTGTTGTCAGGATTAAGTAAGACGGTGCGATAACATACTTGTAAGCATTCAATAATACTAGCATTATTATAACAAATGATAAAAATTATGTGCTAGAAAATCCTAAGTATATACTGAGACTGCGGAAAACATTGGGTTGCCTTTCCATTTCTTTCCTCTTTTGCTGCAGAAAAAAAAGGATATGGAATAGCCGGGTCTACACAGGCTGTTACCGTGAAACTCTGGTCCTGCCCTCTCACGGTGTCTTGCATGGCACTTTCTAGCTGGGTGCAGAGGGTATGAGCTTCAGCCACCAGTTCCTCACTGAAGAAAATGATCAAACTATTAGAAAGTGGTCATTGTTACTTATCAGAGCTGACACCACTGCTTTAAAATATGCTAAACAGCTTTTGACAACATTTTAAAAATGAAGTAACGATCATTTTCATGCTGAGTGTCTTAAAATACCATGTCACTGACCAATGATTTCATTCACCTAGTTAAATAAGCTCCTCCTGGCAGGACCACTGCTGTCCAAAATGTGAAAGAGCAAAAAGATCTCTGTTTAATAAAAATGTTGGAAGTAAGATGGGCTCTTTCTGACTTACCAGATAGCTGAATTTAATTCTCTCCAAACTGCCAAAATCTAATGATATCCCCAAATCACCTGTTTTCTAATTTTTGCAATGGAAAAGAAAAATGTGTGAAGCAATTTACCAGGTTTCTATAGTCCCTTGAGATCTGCTGAAAAGCCAGTTCCGGGAATTGTTTTAATCTAATCAGAATCTTTCTTTCCTACCACAGGAAGTGCATGTTTCCTGTCAGGAATGGGTCACAGTGAGCAAAGGGAGCATATACTAATAATAAACCACCATCCTTCTCTAACCTCAGTTCTGTGACGTGAGAGACGAGACACCTGTTACCCCCAGGTCTACTTTTCTAGAGCTTTGAGGATGTCATGGGAGGGACTATGCCAAATGCGGGAAGACAGCACCCTGGAGCTCCTCACCCTGAAAACACCACCCTGATGGAAGAAATTCAGAGCACGTTTCTGCTCAGCCTCATCTACGGGGCTTCTAGCTAAGTCAACGGCCCAGTGCCAGCTCCAGAGAGAATGAAACAGGCACCAGGCCTCCAGGACAGCACAAGAGGTTGGGAGACATTAAGAATCTAAGGTCACACATGATTAAATACCAAAACAGCTACAAACTCCCCAAGGCAAGAACAGGATTTTTTTTCTTTTTTTTAAGAGACAGGGTCTCTCTGCTGCCAAGGCCGGAGTTCCATGGCAGGATCACAGCTCACTGCATCCTTCAACTCCTGTGCTCAAGTCGTCCTCCTACCTCAGCCTCTCGAGTAGCTGGGACTACAGGCATGTGCCACCATGCCTGGCTAATTCTGTTTTTTTATTTTCTGTATAGATAGGGTCTTGCTTTGTTGCCCAGGCTATTCTCCAACTCCTGGCCTCAAGCAATCCTCCCACCTCAGCCTCCCAAAGCGCTGGGATTATAGTGTGAGCCACTGTGTCTCGCCCGAGAACAGGATTTTTAGAACAGCTTTACTAGCCACGTGTGGTGGCACTTGCCTGTGGTCCCAGCTACTTGGGAGGCTGAGATGGAAGGATCACTTGAGCCGAGAAGTCTGAGGTTGCAGTGAGTTATGACTGTGCCACTGCACTCCAGCCTGGGCGATAGAGCAAGACCCTGTCTCTTAAAAAAAAAAAAGATAGTAATACAATTTACATACCTTAAAGTTCACCCATTTAAAGTGCACAATTCAAGGGTTTGAGCACAGTTAACAGCTGTGCTTCCATCACCATACCTAGTTTCAGAACATTTTCATCATCCCCAAAAGAAACCTTGTCCCCATCATCAGTTGCTCCCACCCCGCTGCCGCCCCAGGCAATCACTAATCCATTTCCATGCCTGGGGATTTGCCTGCAGGACCCCACAGAGCCCGGCACGCAGCAGGCACCTGCGCGACTACTGCACTCGACACTGAGCAAACCACAGGAAGAGCAGCCAGCGAGTGTGGATGGCCGAGCTGCAAAGGAGGTGGGAGCAGAGGGGCCCTGCGGGCAGGAGACCACTCAGGGAGGACACCCAGGGAGCCGGGCTTGGCCAGCGCCAGCGCAGGGCTTCCAGCCACCGCCCGCGGCAGGGCAGCGCAGGGCTTGTTAGGCACAGACTGCGGGGCACCACCCCTGCGCTTCCAGTTTACAAGGTCTTGGGTGGGACCTGAGAACTCGCTGCTGATCTGGATGAGACTTTGGAACTGGGCTACAGCAAGTGGTTTGTAAGAAAGTGGACCGGCCTGGAGAGGCTGAGGTGGCCACAAATGCCTGAAAAAGCTCAGGCCTGACCCTCTATAATGCAGGAAGCCACCACTCATTACTGACCCAGAAACAACTGGGTCACAGCAGTACTTTGTGAAGGTTAATTGGCCCAGAGAGGGCCTGGCGGCAGGGACGGCCAGGAAGTGGAGAAAAAGGCAAAAGCCCTGCCAGGGAAGGCTGCGCTGTCCTGCTCACCGCCTGCCGCGGTCCAGGCAAGGGCAGGGGATGAGCAGGAGGCACTGAGAGGCGCCAGGAGGGTGGGTGACTCGGGGTGCTGGTGGCGTCAGCCCGAGGGAGCCAGGTTTGGGTGACTATCACGGCACGGTACTGAGTAGCATGTCCCAGGTTTCCATCAGCAATCGGCAGTCAGTAATCCAACGCTCAGGTAAGAAAATTACCCAGTTAGTGAGTTACAAGGGACTATGACAGCAGAATGTAAGTCACTTTTGTCCCCACAGGGCCCGGCAGATGCAACAGATACAAAGAGAAGCATGTGCAAAGTCGTCAGATACTTATCCATGACAAACACGCATTTCTAGCCCCAGGACCTCCCGACCGGCCCTGGGACGTCACGTCTGGTGCTGCTAACCATGACTTACCTTTTCTGGGCTGACTCAGGTAAACTGTTGGGGGCTGCCGAGGGCTGAGACATCAGCTGACCAGGGTGACTCAGTCGAGAAGCATTCATGTTGTCCCCGCTCCCACTGACAGGACCTCGGACCTTGCTCTTAGGAACAAAACCAAACAGAAAGTCGACAAAATTTTGGAGCCAAGCGATGAATCAGTCTTTGCACTCACTTCACAGTAAATCCGCATGAGACCACCAGTGTCCCCACGTGAGACAACAGCGGCACGTCTCATCTCAGCCTCAAGCGGGCATTTCTGTATCAGTGCATGAAGAAATTCCAAACGTGAGGAGGCTGGAGTGCCTGCATTTGTTCACAGGTTTTATTTCATTAGTCTGATTCCTTTTCATTAGTTGATGAACTTTTACCAATAAAAGAAAAGAAGGTGTTTTTACTTTTTTCCAAGAAGACTGAGATACACGAAAAGGTTATGAGACTTTCTGTGAATTACGGGCTCTGGGAGACAGCTGAGAAGAAAACCAAGATGTCCTGACTCTCTGTCCTGGAGGTGCTGCAGTCACTCCACCCTCAAGCCCAGACGACCACCCGGGCTGCTGCCTCGCCAGCGCCCCACCTCCCCTCTCCTGGCCCCCGTGGCAGCCCGCAGTCCTTCAGCCCCTCTCTCAGGCCCTCCCTCCTCCCTCCAGCTGTGGGACCTTCCTGGCTCCATGCCAGCCAGACCTCCACCCAACTGTGCCTTCCCCGATTATCCCCCCAGCCCCCGCAGAGACGGGCTGTCTGCTGCCTGCATTCCTGCACCGTGGGCCCTCACAGCCAGGGACCCTGCCCCAGCCCTCCCGCACCCTGTCCTGTGCACCACGGGGCTGCTCAGCTCCCACCCCCTGCCAAGGGGCCCTCACTGTCAGTGCTGAGGTCCCCCAAGGGCAGAAATCCACCCTCCAGCTGCCACTAGAGTGATTTCTCCAAAACCCAATCACTGGGTGTGATCACATCATCCCCACACTTAAGCTCCTTTGATATGACAAGAAAAGACAAATTCTGCAAGGTTTCCTCCACGCTTCAGCAGCAGAGTGGCCAGCGTAGGCCAGCCCTAGCCTGCCTCTGCAGCGTCATCCTCCGTGACGTCCTCCAGCGCCACACTAGCCTGCAGATGGCTCCCAGAACACACCAGACTCTGCCGGGCCTCCCTGCCTGCGATGAAGCAACGTCTCTGTCCCAGACTGTCCTCGTCACCACCCACCCCCTCCTGACTCGTGCTCACTTTTCAGTGGACACCCCCTTGTGAATGCTCACGTTGCTCCCGGACACGGTCTGGATGTCTGATCCCCAAACCTCATGCTGACAACTGATGCCCGTGTTGCAGGGGTAGGTGCCCCGAGAACAGATCGATGCCCTCCCTAGGGCGGGGGGTGAGCGGGCCCCCCACCCAGTTAGCGCCCACGAGAGCTGGGTGTTAGAAAGAGCCCGGCACCTCCCCTCTCGCTGCCTCTCCCTGCGTCCTCCACGAGCGCAGCAGCCCGAAGCCCTCACCAGAAGCTGAGCAGGTGCTGGCGCCTCGCTTCCTGTCCAGTCCGCAGAACCGGGAGCCAAATAAACCTCTTTCTGAATAAATTACCCAGCCCCAGGGGTCCCTTCACAGCAACACTGCGCGGATGGAGACACGCCCTCGCCTCCAAGGCTGAAGCTGGCGTCCTCTGCTGCATTCCAACGACAGCCGTGCTTACCACAGCCGCTTCGTGGCACTTCCTGCCCTACGCCGCGCTCATGCGTGTCCGCTCATGCGTGTCCGTCTGGGCCCCGCGCCAGATCAGGAACTCCTCATAACAGGTGCCGTGCCTTTCCCCCGTGCACCTCACTGGGCATGCAGTCAGCACACAATAAATGTCGAACGAATGCAGACGGTGCATCAGGCCTCCACTTCCCTGCCCTTCTGGGGTCTTCTCCACCTGGGACCCTCCTCTCTCCTCCTCTCTCACGGAGGCTGCGTCACTCACCTCCCAAGGCAAGTCCCTCACTCAAGCTTGTGGTCCCAGCTCTCCTGTTCCCAGAACCGTGTGCACTGACCGTCCCCTCTGCCCTCGACACTGCGAATCTCCTGGCACGCTGGCTCCTCCTGCTTGACCTACGGATACGCCCCTGTCTCCAGGACCTTTAAACAACACAACCCTTGTGTCCTGCTCCCACCATAAGCAACCATTGCCCCTCTCCTCCCCTTTGCCCCTAAACGCTGCTGCTGACTCAGTCACTCTTTTCCCGTCCCTGTCAACCTCTCTGCAGGCACCTGCACAACGGGGCTCACTCTCCCAGCAGCTCTGGCTTCCACGACGCAGTTTTTACCTGGCTCCTTTCTCTGCCCTTACATTTTCTCCCTTGGCATCAGCGGAATCACCACTACCTTACGATGGTGCACACACAAGTACGGGTTACCATGCTGGGAGCAGCAGATGCAGGTGACGGTCCACAGGCTGCGCTGACACGCACTAGTGGGCTGACCTGGGGGCCCTAAAAGGGGTGTGTCCATATCCCAGTTCCTGGAACCTATGCACGTGACCTTATTTGGGAAAGGGGTCTTCAGATACGTAATTCAGTTAAAGATCCCAAGATGGGATCAAGTGGCCCCAAACCCAATGTCAAGTGCTCCTATATCAGACCCCCCATGAGAGACACACAGGTCACGTGAAGACAGAGATTGGAGTGACGCAGCCACACACCCCGAACGCTTCTGAAAGAGGTAAGAGGTAAGGAAGGACCCTCCCCTGCCGACACCTGGATTTTGACCTTCTGGCTTCTAGAAATGAGAGAATAAATTTGTTGTTTTAGGCCACTGGGTTCGTGGTAATTTTTCACAGCAGCCACGGGAAAAGTAACACACGCACAAATAAACACAGCAGCACAAGCTCTTGCTCTGCCCTGCTGCTCACATAACACAGACGGCAAAACCCAGCGGCAGCAGCTCAGTGGCTCCAGGCTTGGTGGCCTCCCCCGTGGGACGGCGACGGCAGTACAGAGGCCGGCAGGGCGCACTCACGCAGGCGATCTTCAGGAGGTTCCAGAGCTCCTTCTGCCGCTTCTCCTGGAGCCCAACAACCGTCTTCTCGTCCTCCTTCATTAAGTTCACCACCTTCTCCACCTTGGGCAGCAACTCCAGAGCCTTCTGCTTGCACACCACAGTTTTGCTACAAAGAACAAACACAACAAAGCCAGTGGCGTCTGGGCTGCGGAAAGCAGAACGCGAGCTCCGGCAGCTGCGGGGTGAGAGAGCAGGTGCAGGGAAGGTTCCCGCAGGCGGCTCAGTGAATCGCGCCAGGGGAAGACGGGCCCACAACCTGCGCTTCCCCCCAGCGCCCCCAGAGCAGGAAAGCGGGGCTCGTACCTGAGCTGCGTGTAGATCACTCGCACTTTCTTCTCGAAGCCCTGAATGGCCTGCAGCAGCAGCCGCACCATCTCCTGACTGTCGCCGTCGGTGCGCTGGTCTGCAGGGAGGAGGAGTGGCAGTCCCTCCGGGCAGAGGGGACCAAGCCTGGCCCACGAGAGGAAGAGGGGCCTGAGGCAGACGCAGAACCGCACTCACCTCGTGGTTTTTCCCTCAGTCTCCTGTACAGCTCTCTGGCTTGCTCTTCTCTGAAACACACAAAGAGGGTCTCGATTCAAGGTCAAATAAGCTCATCTGGAGCACAAGCTAATTCCTGCCAGCAGTTATCACCGATCCTGAGTGGAGACCGGCGACACGGCCTTCCTGACTGGGGGAGACGAGCATTTCTGACGGTGTTTTAGGTGATACCTACGGCAGGCAAACGACTGCCTTCATTATCAAAATCCATACTTCCAGGGTTTAATGACAGAAAATCTTAAGGGAAGGAGACATCCCTCTGTCCTTCCGAATTCCTCCTCCACTTGGCTTCTACGGCAGGGATTCCAGCTGCTGTCGCTGGCCCTGAGCCCGGAGAACAGGGCTTGGCCTCACAAACTCGAGCCCAGAGGTGGACACAAACTCCTACCCTTTTTCCCCACAGGGGAGACTGGCTCACATTCTCTGAAGAAGAAAAACTAGAGGAGAATAAAGGGTCAAATGATTACAGCAAATACAGAATCAGATTTCTGACACTCGGCTTTCTCGTCCTCCGAGTCCCAGACTAGTCCTAGACCCCCGCTCGGCTCACAGCCACGCGCCCTCCACGGCCGATGAAGCCTGCCTGGGTCCCTCGGCTGCGCGCCCGGGGCCGCGTGTCATTTCCTCCGGCGGGACTGGTCTGCCCGACGCCTCGTGCCCGCCAGAGCCAGCGCCAAACACCCGACCGAGAGGAGAGGTGGATGCGCAGGGCCTGCCTCCTGGCCTCGCAGCCGCCGCCTCCGCGCTGCGCTCCGCCCGCCCGGGTCTGGGTGGCGCATGCCCGATGCTAACGGGGAAGGCTACTCTTGCCTCAGAGCCTCTGTGGGTTACGAGCTACTTATCAAATGCACGACCTAAGCTGACCCTCACAACTGCGTGGGCGCAGGCGGCTCTTCTTCCACTGGACAGATGTGGAGACCGAGGCCGGCGGCAATTTGCCGAGATGGTCCCCCAGGGCGGCCTCGGAAGGCGATCTAACACACACGCAGATGCTCCAGGGGGCGTCTGAGCGTGGCCCCGGCGGTACTCACAGGTCGTCCAGCGTCCCCCCGGGCTTCCGGCCCATCGGGCTCCGCTGCAAGTCCACAATGTCCGTCTGCAGCGCCATCATCCGTTCCACCAGGTGCTTCACTTCGTTCTCCTGATGGAAAGCCGTGCTCGCGTCACCTCACGGGGCAGAAGAACCCTGAGACGCAAGCTGTGCTGGGGACGGGGGACCCCGCACACTCACTGAGGACTCCCAGTGGACTCGGGTCAGAACGGCCTGGGTGTGAATCTCGGCTCTATCGCCTTCTAGCTGTGTGGCCCTTGGGCAAGTGACTCAACCCCTGAGCTGGGTTCCTTTTCCATGAATAGCTTCTAACAGGGCCTGCTGAGCAGTCAGATCTGGCAAAGAACGCGCAGCAGCTGGCACGGCGCCTGGCACACCAGATGCCATCGCGCGTTCCTCTCTCTCAGAATTCATCCATCCAATGCCGCGCCACGCGCGACGCCCAGACCTCTGATGTCTAACAGATGGGGAGAACTCTATGGTTAAATAAGGTACTGTCTACAAAATATGTACCTTTAAGCACACATACACCCCATCAATACTGATTTATAAGAACAGACATTAAAAAAAAAGAATGCGCATCAAGACATGGAGGTAAAAATCCACACCCAAGTGCACGGGGAAAAACAGTAAAAGAGCCCAGGAAACAAAAGCCCTGGAGCCCGAGGTCTTCGATCCGTACGAGGTTCACTAGGCCACACTTACTTGCCTTTGTAACCGACATTTTTAACGGGCAACTGATTTGCACGGTCCTGAGACTTTCTCCTAGGCCTTGTTTCTTACGGATTTAGTGTCCCAACAAAATTAGGTGACACCTTTGACAAGCTGGTGTGTTGGTCATTCATCTGATGCCCTTCCCCACAGGAGGAGCCTGAGACTCCAGGCTTTTCCCCAAGGGCATTTAACGTTCTGCTGCCTATTTAAATTTGGACTGCCTCTGTCCTCTGTCCAGCTCGAGTCCGGCCACAGAAGGGCTCCCTTCACAGGCTGCTCTCTCGGCCTCTTTGCAGAAAGTCTAGTTAAGGTCAAAGCACGGCCAGGTAAACTTCATTTCTGACGCAGAAGATCGACCCAGGGTTTGAAGAAAAAGTGAGAAATGGCAGCATAAAATCTCACCCCTCCGTAAGGACAAAAACCACAGATGAGTGTCCTACCTGCCCACACAGCTCCACGGCCTGCTCCATCTCCCTCCAGGCCACCAGCAGTTTATCTGAAGCTGAAAAAAAAATTGGGGAAAAAAATTGAAAAACAAAACAAAAACACCACAAAACTAAAACACAAACAGCAACTCAACTGTAAGAGGACAAAAAAAAAAGGGTCTCTTTGAGCTCACTGCAAAGACCACTCACTGATCCCAAACTCGGTTTGCTCAATGTACTTCTCCAGGTCGATCTGGATGCTGGTTTTGAAGAAATCCAGCTTGGCCTTGAGCTGCTGAGACATGGACGCCATGGAATTCTTCATCTTGGACAGGGAGCTGTTGCTCCGGAGGAGATTCATCCTGCAGGGCCCACAGCAAACCACCTTGGAGCATCTTTGGGATCCAAAAATTATTCCTGTGCAGTAATAAAACCCCCTCAACCGCCAAGGGAGGTCCCTACTATGATTATTATTATTATTATAACAGCAGCCACTTATAACCGACGGACAATTTCCTAGCTGTCAGAAATGCATGTGGTTCTACACCAAAACTGGAATTAGGCAGGTACCACACTACACACAGGGCCAAGAAGCTAAACTAGTCGTAACTGGGGAAAGATTTCAAGTGCCCAGCATAATAATGAGGGCAGTTTTGCTAACCCAAATTGCAGTGGGCTCCTCTGGGCTCCCAATTCTGCCCTGGCTCAGCCAGCCCAGCCCCGAGGCCTGCCCTCCTCTCCCTGTGCTAACCACACTCACCTCCCCAGCCCAGCCCACCCAAACGCTGCCCGCCGGCCAAACCAGTGTCTCCCTTTTGTCTCTTAACAGTTGCTTCTGGGTCCCTGCCTCAGCCACTTCCCTGTGGCCAAAGCCACCAAGCAATTTTACATCAATTAAGTTAAAAACGCCTGGCACAATACATGGCGGCTCGCTGTCCCTGCTGCAGCCGGTTGCAATCCTCCTTCAGGGTCTGGATGCTGTGCCAGACCTGGCCCCACACCTTCCTCAGCTGGAAGAAAGAGAGATTCCTCTTGGGCTCTTGAACTGGAAACAGAGACACGAGCAATTGTCAGAGAGTAACTCTCCTACCATTAACCACATCCTGCCTTGGGACACCACTGGTACTTCTACATTTTTAATAATTATGTAACTAGGACACTATTACATAACTTTTTGGGGTATTATGTCTGGTTACTGTCACATATATTTTTTTTATGCCCCATGACAGTGTAAGCATGGGCAATAAATGGCTACCGATTTGATCAGAAGAAACACTTCATGAATCATTTGGAGACGTAGCCACATGTACTCTGGCTCATATGCTTTCAACAGAAACTCTTCTGTTCACAACATGTAAAGCTGTATGAAGTCTTATTAAAAATCAGCTTCAACTAGCAGTATTGGAGATGATGAAATAAGCAAGAAGCCTGGAGATCGCTAAGCCCCTGGACCTTGCCTCTGCATTCTCAGTGTGGAGGTGAGGGAGGGCGGCAGGCAGACGTGGACAGTGCATTCAAATGTCCACCACACACTGGAATGTCCGCCACACAATGGGATACTACACAGACGTTAAAAAGTAAGGCAGCTACATACGTTCCAAAAGGAGAAAAATCTCCAAAATATATTGTTCAGTGAGAAAGGCAGGTACAGAATGGTCCATATTACATGCTACTATTTGTCTGGGGAAAAAATACCCCTGGAAGGATACCTAAAAATACAACAGTTGCGGTTTCCCTGGACGGGGAACTCACTTGCTGGGGAATTGGGGAGAGACAGCGGCTTAGTGTTCACTGTGCATTCACTCTTTCGTAGCTTTCGATTTTTTTTGGTATCTCGTATATACATTAATTATTAAAATATAAATGAGTCCTGTAGAAGAATGGACTCAGTATGTGTGTATATTTTTTTTTGAGACATAGTCTCGCTCTCTGTTGCCCAGGCTAGAGTGCCGTGGCATCAGCCTAGCTCACAGCAACCTCAAACTCCTGGGCTCGGGCGATCCTCCTGCCTCAGCTTCCAGAGTAGCTTGGACTACAGGCATGCGCCACCATGCCTTGCTAATTTTTTCTATGTATTTTTAGTTGTCCAGCTAATTTCTTTCCATTCTTTTAGTAGAGACGGGTCTTGCTCTTGCTCACGCTGGTCTTGAACTCCTGAGATCAAACGATCCTCTGGCCTCGGCTTCCCAGAGTCTGGGATTACAGGCGTGAGTCACCATGCCCAGCCTGGGTTCAGTATAAATTTAAGAAAGTAAATAAACAAACAAATATAAATGAGGTCAGGTGCAGTGACTCACACCTATAATCCCAGCACTCTGGAGGCTGAGGTGGGAGGATCTCTGGAGCCCAGGAGTTTGAGACCAGCTTGGGCAACATAGCAAGACCCTGTGTTTACAAAAATTTAAAAATTAGCCAAGCATGGTGGCGCGCGCCTGTAGTCTGGCTGTGGTGAGCTAGGATGATCCCATGGCACTCTAGCCCTGGTGACAGAGCCAGAGCCTGCCTCAAATAAATAAAAAAAGAAATATATATATATATATATATATAAATGAAACTTCAGAAATAAACAAAATGGCTTATGGGCAGTATTCTCTGTCCTCTGTTTAAAGGTCTATTTAGGAGGCTGAAATGAACTCACGATTTCTTCTGCCCTTTTTCCCGGGCTACTCCTCACGTGTCTGAAGGAAAGGAGGCTGCCCCAGGACCAGGCATGCTCATTTCCTGGACATGGTTCCTCCCTGGTCCGTGTCTCTCCCTCCTGCCTTGTCCCATGCATTGTAATTGATTTTTTTTTTTAATAACGTTCTTACGGATACAGCTGACACTTTCAGGTTGGGGCCGTGGGGAGATCTGAGTCTCGTAGGTGATTTTACTGTTGTCAAAGAGAAAAACAAGATCCATGTCCAGCGTGCGGCCCTCATTTAACTGCAAAGGGAAAGAACAAAACGAATCTCGTGGATCCAACCCCTTTTCCCACTAATAATGAAGAGGGTTCAGAGCATTTCCCACTGTTCACCAAGAGCATCCTCTCCAGCCAACCAGTGCTAAGCACCCATGAAGCCTTTCTTAACCACTCCAGCCTATACTTATTTTTCCTGTTCCTTCTACACCTACCTGTACACCTTATTTACAACACGTTATGTGCTACTTTATTCTGTCTTTCCTGTGCAGTTTAGAAATTCACTATATGTTACCCTACGTGACGATTATTTCTCCTATGATAACTTTATCTCCATGAGTTGGCTTCTAAGTTCTTCCTGGGCAGGAACCATGTCTCACACTGCTGTGGTTAACACAGGGGCCTGACCCCGTTCTGTACACAGAGGTGATCACAAGTAGTTCGGGTTGACTCAGGAGAGTAAAGCATCATTTTGGCAATCAAGGTGAGAGAAAGGCACTCTAAGCGGTCCGCAAGGAAGGAGTCAAGCACGGAGTGACTCCTGTCTCCCACTACACCACACAGGGGATCTGACGGGGGACCCCCTGCTGCAACTTATAGAAACAGGCAGGTGTCTGCATCAGGAGTAACAGATGACTCGTCAAAACAGAGTTGAAATCTGAAGGTGTGATTAGTGTCCCAGGAGGCACAGTCAGGGAAAATCAGGGTATGCAAGAAGGCAGGGCTCACCTTGCTGTCTGAAATGCACTGCGTGGCTGGCTTGCCCGGGATCAACGCCAGACCCGCCTCCTGCAGCAGCTCCTGGTCGTCCTCTGGGATCCCCGTGTCCTGCTGGATTCTGGCCTTTAAGCTCTGCAGACTCTCATCCTCCGTCACTGGGTAGGTGTGAATGGTGCCCGTGACCATGTTCAAGATATGAACCAGCTGCAACACAACCCAGGTGTTACTGAGAAAAAACGGCTTCTTTAAAGAGATGCCCATCTGTTTGCCCAGATGCTCTGCTTCTCCCAACATTTCCTGGCCACACACAGCAAGGGCCTAGCTTGAAGAAGGGAGCCCGGATGCCAAGTTTCATAAACTCTAGCCTTTCATATTGCTGTTTGTCCACAGCTATGACCTTACTCCTGTACAAAGACTCTCCCAGGAGCCTAAATTTCCTCACGAGGTCGCTGGCCCTTGACCTGCTCTGTCCTGGCATTGCTTTCTCATGAGAACAGCTGTGTCTCAGCAAGGACCCTCGCTGCTGCCTCGGGGCTAACTCGGTTCCCTGCTCACCTTCAGGTTTAAGATGTCATCTAGGGCCTTAAAGCAGCCATTGGGCCCATATGCGGGGTCTGTGCCCCGCTGTCGGGGGTGCCACATCAGCATCAGCTGCAGCCACTTTTCCAGCCGCTGTGCCAGGACGCTGGGGAGAGGAGCAGAGTGTAGGAGGAGACACCTCCAGCCATATCGGCCACCTCTGTGTGCCCGTCTAGAAGCCCAAGCCTCCTGTGCGTCTCGCCATCACACACACAGACAGCAGCCAACAAACGATTATTGAAAATGAAAATGGATTAATTGGAGAGAAAAAGCATAAACATCTCCAACCAATTTAATTCTCCAAGTGCTTATCCCCTCTCTCCTGACCTGCGAAAACAGCCTCCCAAACCAGAGATTTCCCAACCCATGGGTCCACACGCCCACTGCCAACCGGCTGGGTGAGACCAGCCTCTGAGGCTTTAAGCCGCACTTTACAGGCACGTCCTACCTCCAGGCAATCCCCACACACGATCTAGACCCCACTGAGTTAAATGGCGACATGAATAAAAAACAGACCCCGCGCTGCCAGATGGGTTAATGCCCCCCTAAGCAGTAGCTGGGTTCACATGGCAAAGCCCAACTGCCTCCCCCTGGCCCCCAGAGCCTGCTTCCTGTGTGCACTCAAACCCTCCCTGCGGCCAACACAGCCATCCTCTGCCTCCCATATGCCCTGCTCACCCCAATTTTTTCCCTTTCAACTTCCTTCATCTGTCCACATCCTGTACATCCTTCCAGACCCTTCCACAAAGTTAAAGCCCATCCCGGGTCACTCTATATAGCTCTAGTCCACACAATCCTTTCTCCCCACCCTCAAACACTCACGGTAATCATTAACCATGCAACTCAGTTACGTGTGACCACCTTGTAGCTTTCTTTCATATCATTGCCCAATTCTGACCTTGTTAGTTAACCGCTGCTAGTGTGGCTCTGAGACTAGGATTGCAAAACCATGCCGACCACAGGGATTCGTTTGTTGACGGTAACACAGCATGAGGCCACACGAGGAGTGCAAAGAGAAGTAAGGTGTAGCTCCCTGCCCTTAAAAGGCTTTCTGTCGAATAGGAGATAAACCCTACGCAAAACCAAATGCAATACAAGGTAGAGGCTACCAAGGGTAAAAAGAGGGACAGATAAATTGTGATGTGAATTTAGATGATATCTAGGGAGATGAGCATGGGAACCCACGCTAAGTTTCAGACTGGGAAGGACTCTGCCAAGTTCTTAGTCACAGGACGATATCCTGATAACCTATTTAAGTTATCAGGTATCGCCTCAGACTTGTATTTCTAAAAAAGGAAGAAAAACACGCAGAAGAGTGATGCCACTGCGCCTTACCCGTTAAGGTTGTTGGGGTAGGGCAGAGAGCTTGAAAACTTCACCGCTCCATTCAAGTCCTCACTGACGACGATGTCCATCTCACTCTTCTGCCGGACTTTCGAGTGCCTGCAAACACGTGATCTTATCATACGTTCAGAGAAGCGCGTAGCTGGGCAATTTCATCGTCGTGAGAACATCACAGAGTGCAGTGACACAAACCTACACAGCACAGCCCACAACACACCTAGGCTGCATGGTGTCGCCTGCTGCTCCCAGGCTGCACACCTGTGTAGCACGTTACTGACTGCGGTAGGCAACTGTAACACGACGCTAAGTATTTGTGTATCTAAACTTAGAACTTCAGTGCAATATACAGTCATGCACGTCCCTTATGTCCCTCAGCACTCTGAGGCCACCTTACATTTGTAACATCGCTTTACATCTGTGCAGGAGACGTACATCCCCAAGCTTTTGGAAAAACAGTTAATTCGTACCATGATGCAACAGTTTCTGTGAGGGTTTAAGCACGGTCAGTTCTGCCTGAATGAGCTTTTGAAGAAAAGCCTTTAGCAGAGTCACCGACCGTCCCGTGCCCGGAGTTCTGCAGACAGCAGTCGTTTCATTTTATCTAAAACAAACTCCCATGTTTTGACAGAGGATAAAATAGGGACTTCCAAACTGAGATTACTGCATAAATATGATATTCACATGAAGTATGCACAAACACGCACATACATATGTACTTCATTCTAAATGTGTATGACGAAGTACTATTTGTAAGGGTAGCTTTTACAATTCCCAACATAGGGAACTTCTTGGGGTATCTGAAGTAGTATTTGAAGGAAAAAAAATTTAAACCCAATGGGCTTCAAATCTCCTTGGTAACAAGGATAATAACTTGAATTTGAACAGTGCCTCGTAGGTAACCAAGTACTTTGACACGCAGCATTCACTTGCTGCCAAGACTGCCCCGCGTGGAAGACATTTCAGCCCCTCACTTAATGGCAAGGAAATGAAGACCAGGTGATGTGTCCAAGGTCACAGCTGGAGTGTTGCAGAATCCAGGACTCGACTCCGAAGTCTGTATCCTTTCTACTCTGTCTCAAAGCGCAAACACATCTTCTCCCAAAACACGGGGAAGTTCAGGTGAAAAATGGTTCAGCTCCAAACAATTCTCACTGACAAGCAGTGAACTGGTCCCTCTGGAGCACATGGGAAACCCAGAGGGCTGGTGCATGGCAGGACTGGCACCTACGACTCTGGCTGAGCCTGAGAGAGCCGCAAGTCAGGAGCAGTAAGACTTTCTAATTACAAACATGTGGGGCGGTCCTCTACTAGAAAGCTTAGTTTCTCGATGGGAAATACAAAAGGACACATAAAATAAATGCCTATTACTTAGGCTGGTCCTAAAATGTATTAACATTTCAAAGGACTTTATAATAGAATTACAAAGCCCAAACTGCATTTGTTCTGAAATTAGTATTTACCTGCCATCCGAGAGGAAACAGAGAAATTTTTAAAAAGTTGTCTAAGGCATTAAAAAGCAGATGAGACCGGGCACGGTGGCTCACGCCTGTAATCCTACCACTCTGGGAAGCTGAGGCGGGCGGTTTGTTTGAGCTCAGGAGTTCAAGACCAGTCTGAGCAAGAGCGAGACCCCGTCTCTACTAAAAATAGAAAGAAATTAATTGAACGACTAAAAATATATAGAGAAAAAATTAGCCAGACATGGTGGCGCGTGCCTATAGTCCCAGCTACTCGGGAGGCTGAGGCAGATATTGCTTGAGCCCAGGAGTTTGAGATTGCTGTGAGCTAGGATGACGCCACGGCACTCTAGCCAGGGCAACAGAGTGAGACTCTGTCTCGGGGGAAAAAAATAAAGCAGATAAGACGCAAACGAGTCCACACAACAGCTCTTGCTGGGTTTCACAGACGTCTACTTGAAAGAGGCCACCAGCTTCCAGCACTGCTAAGGGAAGTTCTAGGAAGGTGATTCTGCACACAGTTTTACTAGGAAGATGCCAGGCCCTTGGGGATGTATGTTCAAAGTGCACCTGTTCTTCCAGTTCTAATGGATTTTTAACTCATCTTGTTACAAATAATGGGAAAGGTCAACACATGACGTGAACTAAAGAAATTTCTTAGTTAGTTAAAATCACTATAGATGTACACATAATTTAAAACTATTTTTATGGTGGGTATATTATAAAGTGTGACTATAAATTAATGAGCTAATTCCTCAATATTCTAGAACCTATGCAGCCAAATGAGCAATGCCTGTTTAAATTAAGTTGCCACAGGAGGGCATAGTGAGCTATTTCCACCAGAGTCCTAGGGCAGATGCCTCACCTCAATACCATCGTTGGGGCATAAACATGGAACTGAACCAGACTCTTTCGGAATCGATTTCAAAGACTACACTTTATTCTATATTCTTGTGATGCAAATATCTGTCCCCTGAAAACATTAATGTTTTTATTACTTCCAGAAAGGCATTTAGGATAACAATACAACCACAGTTGGCAATGGTGTAGAGAGAGGGGTAGCATCACATGCTCCTGGTGGAACTGTAGATTTATGCAACCTGCTGGTGAAGAGTTGCTGGCACATATCAGAAACCTTTAAAAGGTGCATACTTGGCTGGGTGCAGTGGCTCATGCCTGTAATCCCAACACTCTGGGAGGCTGAGGTGGGAGGATCACTTGAGCTCAGGAGTTCGAGACCAGCCTGAGCCCTGAACAAGAGCAAGACCCCATCTCTACAAAAAAAAAATAAAAATTAGCTGGGCACGGTGGCACACGCGTGTAGTCCCAGCTACTCAGGAGGCTGAGGCAGGTGGTTCACTTGCGCCCAGGAGTGTGAGGCTGCTGTGAGCTATGATGATGCCACTGCACTCCAGCTTGGGGAACAGAGCAAGACCCTGTCTCAAAAAAAAAACCCACATACTCTTTGATCTGTTAATCTCTTTTCTAGGAATTCATCCTCAGAAAATAACTGTGGATATGCAAGGATTTTCCTACAAGGATGCTATTCATGGCGTTATTAAATGAATTATAGTATAGTACTCAATGGAACAGACATTACAGACAATATTGAAAAACATAACGTATTTTCAATATTAAGTTTGAAAGGTAAGTTATGTGAGAATACACATAGCAACTTACTTTGATTTTTTGTTTTTTGTGTTTTTTTTGAGACAGAGTCTCGCTCTGTTGCGCGGCCTAGAGTGCCATGGCAACAGCCTAGCTCACAGCAACCTCAAACTCCTAGGCTCACACGATCCTCCTGCCTCAGCCTCCTAAGTAGCTGGGACTCCAGGCACAAACACCACACCTGGCTAATTTCTTCTATTTTTAGTAGATACTGGGTCTCACTTTTGCACAGGGCTCAGGCTGGTCTCGAACTCATGAGCTCAAGAAATCCTCCTGCCGCAGCCTCCCAGAGTGCTGGGATCACAGGTGTGAGCCACTGAACCTGGCCTTTTTTTTTTTTTTAAAGTAGAAAATACCACATGCTGAAGAGCCTGGAGGCACACAAAAATGTTCATGGTGACTGTTTCCCGGTTGTGTGATTATAGTTGATTCCTCTTTCTTTATTGTTTCCATACTTTCCAAAACAAAAAGCGAAAACAAAGTTAATATTACAGTCACCATGAGGGGTACTCAAACCATGCAGCACTGTTTAGGCACAAGACAGGGACTTTTTGTGTTGCAGTAAATTGGCTCTGGAAGGAAATTCTCACGGTGTAAAACGCACGTGCAGGAAGAGTGTGCATATTATGCTCCCCCTGGTGTAAAAATAAATGTACCACTAAGCAAGTATATGCCAATGAACTCGAGTGTGCGCAGAAGACCCTTGGAAGCATACGAAACCAATGAGGTCAGGTGCCGACGGGGAGGGACACGCGGGCTGGGAGGTGGGTGTGAGGCGACTGTTGACTGTACACTCTCTCATGCGTTTTGAAATTTGCACCATGTGAACTTGTTACTGCTCCAAAAAAAATACAAAGTTGAAATAAAGACACTTTAGAGCAACATTAGTATCATTTAAATTAACGTGTGGCCTCTCAAGGAACAATCTTTTTTTTAAATTTTTTTTTTTATTTCAGCATATTATGGGGGTACAAATGTTTAGGTTACTTATATTGCCTTTGCCCCACCCAAGGCAAGGAACAATCTTGAATGAATCCTAACTCGTTTGGTGGAATGTTAATTTTTAAATTATTTATTTCAGTAAATATTAACTTTATTTCCCTGTACTTTATTTATTTTACCTGATAAATAAAAATTGTAATATTTATCAGGTACAAAATGATGTTCTGAAATATGTATACATCATGGAATGGCTAAATCAAGCTAAATGCCACATGCATCAACCTCACATACTTTTTGTGGTGATTGACTTCTGTATAAATATTTCACAAACAATGCATTATTTTTATAATCAGTAAAATTTATCACGTACAAAATGATGTTCTGAAATATGTATACATCATGGAATGGCTAAATCAAGCTAAATGCCACATGCATCAACCTCACATACTTTTTGTGGTGAT